GCAGCAGAGTGGTCCCTGCAGGGCAGGAGGGAAGGGGACACTGGCCACAACGTCCCACCAGCGCCAGGATGAACCCGGCGGGCGCCTGGGCACCCACCTGTGCTCCAGAGCCGCCACCACGAAGCCCCAGGATGCCAGCTCCGTGCAGATGGAGGAGTACGAGGTGCTGGGAGGGAGATGGGAGCAGGGGGGCTCGGGGTGGGGCCAGGGAGGGTCCCCACAGCCCCGTCCCAGCCCTGCCCAGGGCTCACGTTACCGAAGGGCTCCCAGGCCGTGGGAGAAGATGATCAGGGGGTACCCACGGCTGCAGGGCCTGAGGGGCCCATTCCAGCTGACCGGGACTCGGCAGGAGCCTGCAGGGGGAGAAACGCCAGGAACGGGGTGGGGACAGGGACAGGGGGTGCCACAGGTCTGAATGGGGAGGGGGACAGGGACAGGGAGTGAATGGGGAGGGGGACATGGGCAGGGGGTGTGAGAGGTCTGAATGGGGAGGGGGACAGGGACAGGGAGTGAATGGGGAGGGGGACATGGGCAGGGGGTGTGAGAGGTCTGAATGGGGAGGGGGACAGGGACAGGGGGTGCCACAGGTGTGAATGGGATAAGGGACATGGGCAGGGGGTGCCACAGGTAAAAATGGGGAGGGGGACACGGGACAGGGGGTGCCACAGGTAAAAATGGGGAGGGGGACACGGGCCGGGGGGTGGGACTGAACCCCACCGGGGGTCCCTAAGGGTGGGCACGGGGTGTCCCCCTCCCCGATGGGTGTCCCCTCACCGATGGCCACGCCGAGCAGGGCGGAGCACCAGCGCCGACCCAGGGTGACATCGGCCAGGCCCCCGCAGTACTCGGGCCGGGGCACCCAGAGCGGCTCCACGGCCCCGGCCCGGGCCAGGCACGGGTAGAACAGGCGCAGGAAGAGCCCCTGAGGGGGACAAGGAAGGGGGACACCGTGGGGACGGCACACAGGTGGGTGGCAGTGTCCAAAACCAGCGGGCTGCAGCACCTTGCTGTGCAGGGAAGCTGTCCCTGTGCCCATCCTCATCCCTGTCCCATCCTCATCCTCATCCCTGTGCCCATCTCTGTCCCCATCCTCATCCCTGTGCCATCCTCATCCCCATCCCTGTCCCCATCCCTGTCCCCATCCCTGTGCCATCCTCATCCTCATCCCTGTGCCCATTCCCATCCCTGTCCCCATCCCCATCCCTGTACCCATTCCCATCCCTGTGCCATCCTCATCCCTGTGCCATCCTCATCCCCATCCCTGTGCCCATCCCCATCCCTGTGCCATCCTCATCCCTGTGCCATCCTCATCCCTGTCCCCATCCCCATCCCCGTCCCCACCCCGTACCTGCCGCGTGTGTCCCACCATCACATCCGTGCATCCCACCTGGTGGGGTCCCTGCCCCGGGGGCAGCGCCAGCATCCCCCCCATGCTGTCACAGCCGAGCCTGGCCAGAGACACGGGCTCAGCGTCTGTCCCCACCGCAGGGACCCCAACCCGCTCCCCCCTCCCTCTCCCATTGCCCAGAGCCCCCCAGCGACCCCCAGTTCCATCCCCTCCCAGGGTAGAGCCCCCGGGGGCTGCTCAGGGGTGAGACCCCCCCGTTCCTGTCCCGGGATCGTTGAGGATGCTGTCCCCCCGCGGGGACAGGGACAGGGGCACAGAGCGGGGCTGGCACCCAAGGGACCCCGCAGTGCCGAACTACAGCTTCCAGCAGCGCCCGGGGCTGCGGGACCGCACCTCCCAGTATGGCCCAGCCCCGGACCACAGCTCCCAGTATGGCCCAGCCCCGGACCACAGCTCCCAGTATGCGCTGGGAGCCCGGACTACAGCTCCCAGTTGGCGGTGCTGGACTACAGCTCCCAGCATGGCATCCCCGCGCCCGAGCCGTGCCTGCGGCTCCCAGCGCTCCCCAGCGCTCCCAGTCACCATCGCCGCTCCCAGTGCTCCCCAGTTCCCGGTGAACCCCGCTCCCAGTGCTCCTGACAGCTCCCAGTGCCTCCCAGTGCCCTCACCCACGCAGCTCCCAGCGCTCCCCAGCGCTCCCAGTGCCCCTCCCAAGCTCCCAGGGCTCTCCCAGTTCCAGGTGTCCCTCTGTGCCCTCCCAGCTCCCAGTAAACCCAGCCCCGTGCCCCCCAGTGCCCCCCAGTATCCCCTCTCCCCGCTCACACCAGTGCAGCGCTCACAGCTCCCAGCACGCCCCAGTGAACTCTGCCCGGCAGCTCCCAGTGACTCCAGTGCTCACGGACTGCAGCTCCCAGTAACCACCAGTACAGGAAACCACGGCTCCCAGTGACACCAGGACAGGACAGAGCTCCCGGTGTCATCGGCACGAAATCACAGCTCCCAGTGACACCAGGACAAAACCACAGCTCCCAGTGCCACCAGCACAGGACACTGCTCCCAGTGTCACCCGCAGGAAATCACAGCTCCCAGTGTCACCAGCACAGCTCCAGTTCCACCAGCACAAAACCACAGCTCCCAGTTGTGGGGGTCAGTGCCCGTGCCCAGCACCCCAAGCGCAGGGCTGCGCTGTCCCTGTCTGTCCCCACCCCTGTCCCCCCCAGAGGCCAGCGGCACTCCGGGGCTCTCTCTGCCCACCCCCACGTTCCCTTTGTTTAATCCTCTTTCTGCAGCTCAAGCGGCCCCGGGTCCCGGTAATCCCCTCTGCGCCCGGGGATTAAATCCCTGCGGGGCCGGGCTGGCACAGAAACACCCAAAGGTTTGGTGACAACTGTCCCCAGGCCAGGCTGGCACAGAAACACCCAAAGGTTTGGTGACAACTGTCCCCAGGCTGGCACAGAAACACCCAAAGGTTTGGTGACAACTGTCCCCAGGCCAGGCTGGCACAGAAACACCCAAAGATTTGGTGACAACTGTCCCCAGGCCAGGCTGGCACAGAAACACCCAAAGGTTTGGTGACAACTGTCCCCAGGCTGGCACAGAAACACCCAAAGGTTTGGTGACAACTGTCCCCAGGCCAGGCTGACGCAGAAACACCCAAAGGTTTGGTGACAACTGTCCCCAGAGAGCTCCCGCTCCCACAGCCCCGCTCCAGGCTCACCGGGGAAACTGAGGCACGGCTGGGCACCGGACAGAGCCCTGGGGAAACTGAGGCACGCTCAGAGCGTTGCACAGAGCCCTGGGGAAACTGAGGCACGGCTGGGCGCCGGACAGAGCCCTGGGGAAACTGAGGCACGCTCCGAGCGTTGCACAGAGCCCTGGGCTCGCCCCCGCCGGTGTCCCCGGGCCGGGGCAGGACGGGAGCGCTGCCCGTGCCCTCCGGGCGGGGCCGGCCGGGCTGTCCCGCCCGTGGCCGCCATCCAGCGCTCCGGTCCCGGCTTGCCCGGCCGGCGGGGCAGGGCGGGGGCCGGGACGGGCTGGGACAGACGAGCCCTGACCTGTCCGGCCCACGCCCGGCTCGGGGAATGGGGACAGCACCCCCAAATTACCCCGGCAAAGCCGCCCTGGGACACAGGGGGACACGGGGACAGGGGGACAGGGGGACACGGGGACTCAGAGGGACACAGGGACAAGGAGACATGGGAATACAGAGGGACGGGGGACGGGGGGACAGGGGTCACGGGGTCCATGGGGACAGAGGGACAGGGGGACAGACGGACAGGGGTCGGCGCCCCCTCAGTCCCGTCCCCCCCCGGGACCCCCCGTGCCACGTGGGCGCGGCCAATGGACGCGCGCCGGGAGTGGGGCTCCTCCGGACACGCCCCCTCCTGTGAGCGAGCAGCCAATGAGGGACAGGGGGCGGGACAAGCCGGGGAGGGGGCGGGGCCAGAGCTCCGTGTAACAGATGCGGGCGGGGGGGCACGTGGAGCGCGGGGGGGACGCGGGACCACCGGGACAGACCGGACAGGGGGGACAGAAATACGGACACGGGGACAGCCACACGGACACGGGGACAGCCACACGGACACGGGGACAGCCAGCCCCGCGGGGACTGACCGACGGACAGCACTGCCAGCTCCCGGCGGGAACGGGGCACAGCCAACCCTGGGCGGGACAGACACACGGACGGACGAGGGACAGCCAGATCTGGGAGGGGACAGGGGACAGACAGTCCCGGAGTGACAGACGGACAGGGGACAGCCAGCTCCGAGGGGTGCAGGGGACAGCGGGATAGTTAGCCCCGGAGGGGACAGACAGACAGACGGACGGACAGGGGACAGGCAGTCCCGGGGAGGGACAGGAGGACAGCGGAGAGCAGCGGGGTCTCGGACAGGCACCGGGGGGACACGGGAACAGAGAGCCCAGCGCAGGGACTGACGGACAAGGTGACCAAGGGGACGCACACCCGGAGAGGGGCTGTGCGGAGCCTCCCGGAGCGCCTCCTCCGCCCGGCCGCGCACCGGGAGCCCCGGCGGCCGCTCCGCCGCCCTCCCCGGTCGGGGATGCAGCCCGGAGCCGCGGGCAGGCGGCGATCGGGGCTGCGGGACACGGCCCAGCACCCGCCCGGGGCCGCGGCACCCCGAAGGTAACGGGGCAGGGAGGGAGGGAGCGGGGCTCCGGCGGCTGCGGGAGGGTTTGTCCCGGGTTTGCTCCCCAGGGAGCTGCGGACGCCGGTCCCGCCGCAGGGACGTGTGGAGCCACTTGCGGTGGCACGGCTGGCGGCGGCAGGACGGTGACGACGCCGCCTCTCCCTTTCTGCAGGGATTTGAAGCTGGGTCAAGCCATGGAAATGTCACTGTGGCGGCTCGGGGGCCCGGAGCAGTGAGCGGCTGGGACACCGGGACACCGGGACACAGGGACACCGGGCTGGGCTCTGCATACCGGGACACCGGGACACCGGGACACCGGGACACCGGGCTGGGCTCTGCACACCGGGACACCGGGACACCGGGACACCGGGCTGGGCTCTGCACACCGGGACGGCCCCGAGAAGCCAGCACAGCCCTGGGACTGTCGCGGCCTGAAGGACACAGGACAGTGCCCGGGGCCAGGAGCCGTCCCACTGCCCACTCGGGGCTGGGAACACCGTCCTGACCGGACTCTGGCACCCACCTGAGCCCGATGAGGAGCTGGGGCTGCGTGTGAACCTATGCAGACCAGGAAGAAATACATTTTCCTGGCTTTCCTGGCCTCTTGGCTCCTGCTTTTCCTCTTCGGAGGGGACCAGCTGCGCCGTTTCGCTTTGTTTTCCGCCAGGAAAGCAGAAGCCCCGAGGAGCTGGCCCCGCTGGACGGATCGGTCCCTCCTCAGGAGCTTTGCGGAGCCCGAGGAGCTGCAGAGGGATGGGGACCCTGCCCCGCTGTCCCCCCGGGAGAGGCGGGCGGCCTGGCTGAGCGCCCACAGGAGCAGCAGGTGCCGCATGGAAAGCTGCTTCGACCTCTCCCGGTGCGAGAGGAACGGCTTCAAGGTGTTCACGTACCCCCAGGAGCGGGGCCAGCCCGTCTCGGACACCTACAGCAAGATCCTCAGCTCCATCGAGCGCTCGCGGTACCACACGGCGCGGCCCGAGGAAGCGTGCCTCTTCATCCTCAGCGCCGACACGCTGGACCGCGACCGCCTCTCGCAGCACTACGTGCGCGACCTGGAGGGCAAAATCCGCAGCTCCCCGCTCTGGAACGGCGGCCGCAACCACCTCATCTTCAACCTCTACTCGGGCACCTGGCCCGGCTACGGCGGCGAGCTGGGCTTCGACCCCGGGCTCGCCATCCTGGCCAGGGCCAGCTCCGACAGCCGCACCTTCCGGCCCGGCTTCGACGTGTCCATCCCCCTGATCCCCCGGGAGCACCCGCAGCGCGGCGGGCACCGCGGCGGGCTGGCACGGGTGCCCCCCAAGAGGAGATTCCTGCTGGCGTTCAAGGGCAAGCGGTACCTGACGGGCGTCGGCTCCGGCACCCGCAACGCGCTGCGCCACATCCACAACGGGCACGACATCGTCTCTCTGACCACCTGCAGGCACGGCAAGGACTGGCACCGGCACAAGGACACGCGCTGCGACCGGGACAACGCGGACTATGAGAGGTGAGGCAGAGATGGGGGCGATGGGACACCCCACAAGTGTCCCCCCAAATGCCTCTCTGTGCAGTGCAGCTGTGCAGGAGGGTCTGGGGCGATGGGACTCCCCACAAGAGTCCTCTCAAATGCCTCTCTGTGCAGTGCAGCTGTGCAGGAGGGCCATGGGACACCCCACAAGTGTCCCCCCAAATGCCTCACTGTGGGGTGCAGCTGTGGTGAGAGGGAAGTTTTGGGTTCTCCTGAGAGAAATTCACTGAGGATTTCACTGCAGGGTGGGGAGCGAGGCGCTGACTGCTCAGGGCTTTCCTGCTCTCTGTTCAAGTTGGAGTAATCTGGCCAGAGCAGCTCTTATCTGCCGTCGTGCCACCGCCTCTAATACGATTTCCCTTTCTCCCAGCGCTGATGAATGACGCTTTTCTTCTCCCCCCTCCCGCTCTCCCCCAACACAAACGTTTCTCTTGGAGATGAGCCCGAAACATCCCCCCCTCACTGGCTCCACTGGAAATCCCACAAAACTGGCGGGGCTGTGGGCGTCCCAGTGTGGGCAGCCCCGAGTTTGATCGGTGCTGGTGGTGCCTGGGGGTCCCCCTGCGTCCCCCACCACAAATGGACACGGTGGCAGCAGTGCGGGATGGACACAGTGGTGGAAAAATTTGGGGTACAAAGTTCTGTGAGTTTGGGCGCGCCATTCTGCAGGGAGCTCCTCACCTCCCCATCCAACTCCTTGTGACCCATCAGCAGCTGATGAATCCAGGGCTGGTAAACACAGAGCCCGTCCCACAGACAATGGGCAGGTGCCCGTCCCACGGCCTGGGGAGCAGATGGGGAGAGGCCACGTTGGGCATCATCCTCAAAGCGTCTTAGGAGGTGCTGGGAGGTGAAAGTGGAGCTGGGGTGCCGGCACAGGGATTACCGGGGCTTTGGGACGGGCCAGGCCCCACACGGCCCAGCAGGGTCAGCCCCAAAGTCTCCTTGGGATGGGGCACCTCGGGACAGTGGGGCTGGCAGGATGGGGGGCTCAGGGTCAGCCCCACGCTGTGCCAGGGGGCAGCGGGGTGAGGATTCCCCCCCATCCACCCGCCCACCCAGGTAATCCCCTAATGCTGTTTGCAAACACGGGGGGATTTACACCTCTCCGAGCGCGGCTTTGGCCGGGGATCCATGGGGAACGCGTGGAGCGGGCAGCGCGCTGTGTGTGACCCCGAGCCTGCCCTGCCCTGCCCCGCTCCTCCCTGCGGGACACCGGGCACAAAACCGCGGGCACGGCCACCGGGGCCGGCTCTGCGGGGGCACCGGGGCCCTCCTGCCCGGGGAGGAGCTCCCACACTCGGGCAGGGAACGGAGCGAGACCCGGCGGTGTGTCCGGGGCTGGAGGCGCTCGGGGAGCAGAGGAAGGCTCTGCTGGCGGTTCCATCATCCTCCTCATGCCCGAACAATCCCGTTCTGTTCTGGGATGAAGGGCGGCTTGTGGCATTGCGGCCCAGTGCCCGGAGCGCTCGGCGGGGCCGGGAGCCGCCGGTACCGGTGGCACTGTGCCCGGAGCACACAGCGGGACCGGGACTGGCTGTGCCGTGCCGGTGGCACCGTGCTCGGAGCACACAGCGGGACCGGGACTGGCTGTGCCGTGCCGGTGGCACCGTGCTCGGAGCACACAGCGGGACCGGGACTGGCTGTGCCGTGCCAGTGGCACCGTGCTCGGAGCACACAGCGGGGCTGGGAGCCGCCGGTACCGGTGGCACCGCGCCCGGCCGGAGCGGCTCTCGGTACCGGTGGCACCGCGCCCGGCCGGAGCGGCTCTCGGTATCGGTGGCACCGCGCCCGGCCGGAGCGGCTCTCGGTACCGGTGGCACCGCGCCCGGCCGGAGCGGCTCTCGGTATCGGTGGCACCGCGCCCGGCCGGAGCGGCTCTCGGGGCTCTCGGTACCGGTGGCACCGTGCCCGGCCGGAGCGGCTCTCGGGGCTCTCGGTACCGGTGGCACCGTGCCCGGCCGGAGCGGCTCCCGGGGCCGGGCGGAGGGAGCTCGGCGGGCGCCCGTCCCGGCTCTGACAAAACAAGGAAGCCCCGCCGGCATGGGCCGGAAACCGCAGCGCGTCCGGAGCCGATGTTTCCATCGGGAGCGCTCGGCCCCGCAGCCCGGCCGGCGCCAGGGCCCCACCGCACCGGCTGCGGGCCAGGGACACCCCCGGGCCGGTCCCGCCGCCCACCGGGGCTGCCGGGGGTCACGGCAGGGTCTGGGGCTCCAGGAGAGGTGACAGCCGGCTCTGGCCCCTGTCGCTGCTGTGGTTCCGTGGGGCTTTGAGCCGCCGTCACCCCGCCGGGGGTTTGGGTGTTATCGGGTCAGGGATTTTGGCATCTTTGGAGACACTGCGAGGTTCATCCAGAGGCGGGATTTATTGTGAAACTCTGCGCCTTGGCGCTGGGGCTGGTTTCCCACATCCCGGAGCGCTGGGACGTGCCAGGGTGCTCCAGCACCCACAGGGGTGACACAGCCTCGGCTCCCAGCCTGGCACCAGCACCGGGGACACCCGGACACCCTTCCTGCCGGGACCTGAACATTGCAGGGCTCTTTTTGGCCTCCCACCCCCCCAGCCCGTGCCGCAGCGCTGCCCCTCCCCGCGGGCAGGAACAGACGGGGTCTGTCCCGACCTAAAGTCAATATTGGATTTTCCGGCGCTGCCGCAGGGACCCGGCGGGGCCGAGCCGCTCCCAGCACGGCACAGAAGGGGCTTTGAGAGCCCCGGGGGCGAGCCCGGCACCCCCTGCCCCTCCCTGAACGCTGCCAGGGCAGGCAGGGCTGGTCCTGCCCAGCGAGTCTGGGCACGGCTCAGGAGCCGCCGCAGTTTCGGGTTCTGGGGCTCGGGTGGTGGCTTTGTGTGGGGTGTCACTGCTGGAGCGTGGGAGGAGCTGGGTCAGTGCCTTCAAAGGGCGCTGGGGTCCCTTCCCGACCCCCCAGGTCCATCCCTTCAGCACCCAGGAGATCTCTGCTCCCACAAACCCAGGGATGTTCAGAGCCAAAATCAATCCAAGCAAACCCTAACCCTGCCCTGACTTGGCTCCACACCTGGCAGGTGCCAGCAGCGCCTCCGGGGTGCCCCCAGGAGGGGAGGGGGCCACGGCTGACCCCTGCCCATCTCCCACACCAGGTTTGACTACCAGGAGCTGCTGCACAACTCCACGTTCTGCATCGTGCCCCGGGGCAGGCGCCTGGGCTCCTTCCGCTTCCTGGAGGCTCTGCAGGTACAGAGAGGGCAGGGGGATTGAGAACCCCCTCACCGGGTCTGGGGGCTCTGTCCCAGCCTGCGGGGTCCCTCCACAGGCCGCCTGCATCCCGGTGCTGCTGAGCGATGGCTGGGAGCTGCCCTTCGCCGAGGCCATCGACTGGGGCAAGGCTGCTGTGGTGGGCAGCGAGAGGCTCCTGCTGCAGGTACGGGGCCCAGATCCTGCCCCACACCGGCACCAGACCCCAAAACAGTGGGGTGGAGCCCCCAGACAAGTCTGGGGATGAGACCCCAACATCCAGTGGGCAGTGCGGGAGGGTCTGGCCCAGCCTGGAATGGGGGTCCCAGCCCAGCTGCAGTCCCGGGGCTCTGTTCATCTCGGGGGGAAGGTGGGAAGGATCCTCCTGGGCACAAACCTTTGGGAATCCTGGGCCCGATCCTGCTGCAGGGAGAGGAGATGCAGCCCTCTCTCTGTGCTGGCACCACATCCGTGGGCAGGGACTGTCCTTGGCATGGTTGGGGGTACAGGGGTGAGCAGCCCAGCCTCAGGGGGACACTGAGGTGAGGACCCCTCTGTCCCCTGGCATGGTTGGCATGGTTGGGGGCACAGGGGTGAGCAGCCCAGCCCCGAGGGGGGCACACTGAGGTGAGGACCCCTCTGCCCCCGGCACAGATCCCCTCTGCCGTGCGCTGCATCCGCCCCGAGCGTGTGCTGGCCTTGCAGCAGCAGACGCAGTTCCTGTGGGACGCCTACTTCTCCTCGGTGGACAAGATCGTGCACACCACGCTGGAGGTGAGCCCCCCCCGCCCCCGAGCCCCCTCCCCGGTCACGGCCGGGGCTCCGGGGCATCACCGGCGCCTCCGGCAGATCATCCGGGACCGGCTGGAGCCGTTCCGCTCCCGCTCCCGCCGCCTCTGGAACGCGCTGCCCGGGGGGCTCCTGGTGCTGCCCGAGTTCTCCACGCACCTCGGGGATTTTCCCTTCTACTACCTGCAGCACGGTAGGGCCCTGCCCGCCCCGGCTGAGCGCCGCCAACTCGGGCCGTGCCCAGCACCTCTCCCGTCCCTTTCCCATCCTTTCTCCAGGCTACAGCCCCTCCAAGAAGTTCACGGCTTTCATCCGGGCGGTCTCGCAGGCAGGCTCGCTGTCCCAGCCCCTCCTCAGGCTCATCCAGGCCGTGTCTGGATCCCAGTACTGCGCCCAGGTGGGAGGAGCAGGGTCCCAGGGATGCGGGGGATGGTGGGGCTGGGCCCTGCGGGGACCAGGAGAGGCGATGGGTGGCTTTAGGGGTCCAGGGGGTGGCTGGTGGTGTCACCTTTGGGTGGGCAGAGCTGTCTCCCAAGCCCTTTGCACCACCTGGGGGTTTATCCTGGTCCAAACCGTCATGAGGCGGTTTTGGGACGGTCTGGGCTGGAGCAGAGAACGCACCCAACCCCTCCGGGCACGCCTGTCCTGCCCTTTGCAGATCGTGGTGCTGTGGAGCTGCGAGAAGCCGCCGCCCCCGAGCGGGAAATGGCCCCAGAGCAGCGTGCCCATGAAGATCATCCAGGGCAGGAGGAAGGTGAGGGGACAGGGACACGGGCAGGGGGCTGGGACACGGGCAGGGGACAGGGACACGGGCAGGGGGCTGGGACGGGGGACAGGGACAAGGATAGGGGACAGGGACACGGACAGAGGGCCAGAACAGCCACCCCAGGGCACCATCCTGCCCTTCCTTCCTCTCCCCACAGCTCAGCGACCGCTTCTTCCCGTTCGGGGCCATCCAGACGGACGCGGTGCTGAGCCTGGACGAGGACACCAGCCTGTCCACCAGCGAGGTGAGGGCCCGGCCCCGGCTCCCTGTGGCTGTCCCCATGTCCCCGTGTCCTGCAGGGGCAGCGTGGTGCCCTGCCGCAGTCCCCGGCTCCCTGTGGCTGTCCCCATGTCCCCGTGTCCTGCAGGGGCAGCGTGGTGCCCTGCCGCAGCCCCCGCGGTGGTGGCACTGCCCGGGGTGACACCGACGCCGTGCCCCTGCCGTGCCAGGTGGATTTTGCCTTCTCGGTGTGGCTCAGCTTCCCCGAGCGCATCGTGGGCTTCCCCACGCGGAGCCACTTCTGGGACGCCGAGCGGGGCCGCTGGGGCTGCACGTCCCGCCGGACCAACGAGGTGTCCATGGTGCTCAGCGCCGCCGCCTTCTACCACCGGTACCGGACCGGGACGGGGCTGGGGGGCTCGGGAGGGTCTCACCGACCCCCTGGCCCTCACCCCGCTCTCCCCACAGGTACTACCACAGCCTCTTCACCGAGCACCTGCCCGCGGGCCTGCGGGAGCTGCCGGCCTGCCAGGACGTGCTGCTGAACGCGCTGGTGGCCGCTGTCACCAAGCTGCCGCCCCTCAAGGTGACCCAGCGCAAGCAGCACGAGGAGGGGGCGGCCCGGCGGGCGGGCTGCGGCGATGAGGGGGCTGCGGGGATCCCCCCGGGCCCGCCCCCCGCTCCGGCCGGGGCTCGGGGCACGGAGGGCGGCCGGCGGCTCGGGCAGGGCCGGGACTGCCTGAACCAGCTGGAGAACTGGTTCGGCTACATGCCCCTGGTGCCCTCCCGGCTGCGCCTGGACCCCGTCCTCTTCAAGGACCAGGTGTCGGTGCTGCGCAAGAAATACCCGAGCCTGGAGAGGCCGTGAGGGCGCCCGGGGTCGGGCCGGGCCCCAGGGGCAGGATGCTGCTGATGCTGACGGGGTTTTACTCGTTATTGGCTTTCCCCAGTGCAATAAAGGAGGGCGAGAGGTAGGAGCCGGATGGTGGAACACAGGAAAGGCTGTGGGATTTGGGGGGCACCAGGTTTTGGGTGCTCCAACGCGCCCTGGGAACAAGCCGGGCAGCCCTGCGGGGGGGGAGAGTCCTTCACCTTCCCGAGAGCAAACAGAGGAGCGATAAGAGCCGTGTGTGACCTCCCTGCCCGGCTCCAGCTGCGTCCCCCGCAGGCCCTGGGCAGCCCAGCACCCCCCAGTGCCCAGCGGCACTCCCCAGAGAAGGGAAAGGGTGTTCCAGCTGGCTTTCCTCCCAGCCGGACAGAAATAGGGAATGTTGGGTGCCTCCAACAGCCACCCGGGTGTGTCCTTGGCTGCTGCAGATAGCGGAGATAAAGCCGGACCCAATAGACCCAGCATCCCCCCGCACACACAGCCCCGTGTCTCTGCTTTATTTGCCGCACACGGAAGGTGCGGGGCTCAGTCGCGGGGGGGCTGGCACTCCCGGCAGTCCCGCATCTCCTCGGAGTAGCTCTCCACCTGGATGGTGGTGCTGTGGAAGCGGAAGGCGCCCTGCAGCCGCGAGCTCGCCTCCTCCAGCACCTCCTGCGCGCTGGCGGCCGCGTCTGAGGGGGGGGAAAGGTGGGGATGTGGGGGTGTCCCCATTGTGGCACTCCCTGGTGGCTCTGTCCCCTGTCCCTGTGCCATGGCACTCACTGATGGCCCTGTCCCCCTGTCCCTGTGCCATGGCACTCACTGATGGCGATGTGCACGGACAGCAGCGGCTGTGGCAGCCCTGTCCCCGTGTTGTGGCACTCCCTGGTGGCTCTGTCCCCCCTGTCCCCACTGTCCCTGCACTGTGGCACCCACAGATGGCTCTGTGCCCCCCGTGGCACTCACTGATGGCGATGTGCACGGACAGCAGCGGCTGCGCCGCGGTCAGCGCCCAGATGTGCAGGCTGTGCACGGCCTCCACGCCCCGCACGGCCAGCAGCGTGTCCCGCACGGCGTTGAAGTCCATCCCCTTGGGGGTCCCTGCGGGCAGAGCCGGGGGGCTGCAGGGACAGGGCCCAGGGCACCCCTGGGTGCCCCCGTCCCCATCCCGGGGGTCCCTACCCTCCATGAGGACCAGCAGCACGTCCCGGAGGATGGTCAGCGTCGTGCCCAGCACCAGCGCCGAGAACAGGAAGGTGCAGATGGGATCCACGAACTTGTACTCGGGCTGGGGAGGGGGCACAGGGGTGAGACCCCCGTGGAGCCATCACTGCACCCCAAACCCCCATGGGGACCGGTGGGGCGGGCACAGGGTCCTGGTTGTACCACCCTGTGCCCAGCCATGGCTGTCTGGAGCTGCTGTCCCCGTGTCCCCAGACCCCGTTTGCCCCCATCATCCTCTGTGCCTCCAGCACCCCTTTTGCCCCCAGACCCCCTTTTCCCCCAGCACCCCCTTTGCCCCAGTCATCCCCTTTGCCCCCAGACCCCCTTTGCCCGTTGACCCTGTTTTCCCCCAGCCCCCCGTTTACCCCCAGCACCTCCTTTGCCCCCAGCCCCCCGTTAGCCCCCAGCCCCCCGTTAGCCCCCAGCCCCCCAGACCTTGAAGAAGATGATGTAGGAGGCGATGAGCACGCCGAGGCTCTGCAGCAGGTCCCCCAGGACGTGCACGAAGGCGGCTCGGACGCTGGCGTTGGGCTGCTCGCCGCCTGCCCCGTGGCTGTGCCCGTGGCCCGTCTGGTGCAGGGCCAGCCCCATCCTGCGGGCAGGGCACTGGTGACACCCCGGGGGCCCTCAAGCTCTGGGAGGGGACACTGGGGACCGTGCGGTGGCACCTACACGATGTTGACGGCCACGGCGCAGGCGGAGGTGACGAGCATGACGCCACCCTCGATGTCGTAGTCACCCGAGAGCAGGCGCTGCGCCCCCAGGTAAACCAGGACCCCCGTCACCACCCAGATGGAGAGCACGGAGAGCAGAGCCCCCAGGATCTCTGCGGAGAGACCCCCAAAGGCTGCCACGCTGCCGTGCCACCCCCAGCACCATCCCTGGCGATGCTGGGCACGGTGTGGGCACCCAGCACCCATCCCTGGGGTGCTCCTTGCACGGGGCTGGCAGCGCACCTGCCTCGCCTCGCTTGTGGTGCCAGGACTATGCCAGGGCTCCCCAGGCCCCTCAGGGCACCCCAAAGCCCCTGTTCCACACGGGGAGGGCACCTTGGGGTGCTCTGATGTCACCCTGGGGCGGTGCCACCGCGTTACCTGCCCGGTGCCAGCCGAAGTTCATGGTTTTGGTGGGGGGCCGTGAGGACACCCAGAGGGCAAAGAGGCTGATCATGATGCTGGCAAAGTCCGTCAGCAGGTGGGCAGCGTCCGTCAGGATGGCCAGGCTGTGTGCCAGGTACCCACCTGTGGACAGGGGACATTGGGGGACACTGGGGGGACATTGGGGGCACATGGTACCCACCTGTGGACAGGGAACATTGGGGGACACTGGAGGGACATTGGGGGGACATGGCCAGGCTGTGTGCCAGGTACCCACCTGTGGACAGGGGACATTGGGGGACACTGGGGGGACATTGGGGGGACATGGCCAGGCTGTGTGCCAGGTACCCACCTGTGGACAGGGGACATTGGGGGACACTGGGGGGACATTGGGGGGACATGGCCAGGCTGTGTGCCAGGTACCCGCCTGCAGGGACATTGGGGGACATCGGGGGACACGGCAGGGTCCTGCCCCGAGCTGGGCACAGCTCAGCTCACCCCGAGCCACAGGAGGGTCCCACTGGGTGTCCTGACCCACACAAAGCCGGCAGGGAGCTGTGGCCGCTCCCTCAGTGGGGAACCAGGACAAGAGGGGCTCTGGGGTGACCCCCGGGTACCGCAAAGGAGCCGGCCCCCCGCACTCACCCACGGCCTCCCCCACCATGAAGAAGAGGCAGATGCCAGCCGCCAGGTAGAGCTTCCTGCGTGCCCGCTGCTGCTGCCCGGGGTGGGCGCCGTGCCCCCGCGCGTGGCAGTGCTGCCCACGCCGCGTGCCCAGCTCCAGCGCGGGCTCCCGTCCGTGCGCCGCGCTCTGTCCGTCCTTCCCCGCGGAGCCCCTGCGGCCAAGCGCGGGGCTGGGGGGCTGCGGGCGCACCCCCAGCGCTGCCCCAGCCCGGTGCCCCCAGACCCCGCAGAGCAGAGGGGGCACAGCACCCCCAGCCCCCCGGGCACCCCCGTACCCGCCGCTGCCCTCGCTCAGCAGGCGCCGCTTCTCATCGCCGCCCGCCATCCTCCTCCTCCTCCTCCTCCTGCTGCTGCTGCTGCTCCCGCTGCGGCCGGGGCTCGGCGCGGTGACCCCGGCGCTGGTGGCAGCCGGCGGCCTTGGCTCGTGTGAAGAGCCGGGATTCGTGTGCAAATCCCGGCTGGAGGAGGGACGGCACGGCCAGGCCGGCTGCAAAGCGCCCGCGGGGCCTGCCCCGGGCTGGGCCCCTCTCACAGCCGGGGGCTGCGCTGCTGCTGGGGGGGGTTGACGTGGGACCCCCCCTCTGAGTGTCCCCAGGGGCTGCACACACCCGGGCTGGGGGCAGAGGGGCATGGAACGGCCCCATGTCCCCTCCAAGGCACACGGTGATCCCCATCTCTGCTTTGGAACCCCCCAGTTTGGATCCAGGCGTGTGATGGATTAATCTGGACCCCCCCACACACAGCAGAGGCTCCTGCCCCTGTCCTGGCTGAGCAGCGTTAATTACCCTGGGCTAATTGCCCTCGTGGCTCAGCTCTGGGTGCTGCCTCGGTTTCCCCTCCGAGCAGGACCCATGTTTTTGCAGGAGAGAAGCATTTATGGGATACTTTTGCATTTAGGATGTGTATTAGATTTATGGTGTATTTTTTCACCCCAGGTGCATTTCTGAGCTCAGCCCATGCATTTCACCCCAGGTGCATTTCTGAGCTCAGCCCATGCATTTCACCCCAGGTGCATCTCTCAGCAGCAAACCAGCAGCTCGATGCCCACACCGTCCCCATTTTGGGGCCTGGCCCAGCCTGGAGCACCCTCAGCCCCCCTGTGCCACCTCTGCAGCCCAGGGCAAGCCCTGGGCAGGACACCCCATCCCCAGGAGATAAATCCTGCCGGGTGCCCACCTGTCACACCCCGGGCGGGCGGCCAGGAGCGGCTGCCAGCGCTGCCAGAGGTGCCAATGAGGCTGGAAATGAAGAGCTGGACCCGAGGTGTCCCTGTGCCACGCTGGGTGATGGCAGGGACCCTCTGATGGCACCAGCCTGGCAAAGCCACCCCCAGCACCCACAGTGAGCCGAGAGCGAGAGGCGAGCGAGGAAAGAACCACCCGAAGCAGCGGTTTTTCTTTACAAAATACACAAATTCCAAATGCGTGACAATTATATACAAAACAAGGGAATTACAAAACGTGCGGAATCGTCCCGTTTGCACCCGTATAGAAAAGTGTCCTGTGCTGGAGCAGGGCCGGCTCGCCAGGCTGCCGGGCCCTGCCTGTGTGCCCCCCATCCCGAAGGCGTCGCCGGACATCCCGTGCCCGTCCCAGCGCTGCTGCGGCTACAGGGGAGCTGCCGAGGGAGAGGATGGTGTGAGGAAGGAGAGCCCAGGCCCCCAGAGCTGCCCCGTGGGTGCTGGGGGCTCCCGGGGACGTGGGCTCAGCCCTTACCCATCACTGCCCTCTCGGGCGCCGCGTTCTCTTCCACCTCCTCTTCCTCCTCCCCATCAAAGTACTCCTCATCTTCCTCTGCTGCAAACGAGCGGCCGGAGGTCAGCGGGAGGCACCGGGAGGAGCAGAGGGTGCCACCGGCAGGGTGGGGGTCAGTGAGGGGGTGAATTACCGGGGTCGAAGTCCAGGGCGTGCACGGCCTCGCTGAGGTGCTCCAGGCTCACCGAGAAGGCGTCCATGCTCTCGTAGCCCTGCTCGATCTTGTCCAGGCGAGCGCCCTTGGAGGCCTCCACGATCCTGGGCAGGGAGAGCACGGGTGGGTGCGGCTGTCCCTGTCCCCTCGCTGGGCCGGGGGCCGGGGGGCAGCAGGGCAGGGGCTCAGGGCAGCCCCCGCTCCCCAAATCCTGCCCGTGGGGCTCGGATCGAGGGGATTGCCCCGGTTTGAGCACTTACGTTTTTATGAGCTGCTTGGCATTCTGTGGAGAGAGAGAAGGGGAAGGAGGAGGTGAGTGAAGCCGCAGCAGCCCCCAGGCTGTCCCCAACAGTGGAACCCCACATCGGGACGGGTCTGGGGGTCTCACCATGAGGAAGGCGGCCCCCCCGGTCTCCTCGGCCGCCTGGATGGCCGTCTCCACCAGGCGGCTGGACTTCTCCAGCTGCTCCTTGTACTGGCAGATGAGGCTCCGGATGAAGGCGGTCTTGTCCGCCTGCTCGCGGCCGATGCGCTGCAGCAGCTCCGCCTTCTTCTCCTCCAGCAGCGCCGCCAGCGCGTCAAAGCGAGCGCACAGCTCCCTCTTGGCCGCCTCGCTGTTCTCCTGCGGGGACAAGGGACAAGGGATGGCACCCGCGCGTCCCTGCGGCGCCTGCAGCATCCCTGCTCCGTGGGCTGCACACCGTGCCCGGCTGGGGTTTCACCCCCGGGTTTTGGGGGTTCCTTGCCCCCTCTGCTCACCTCGGTGCTCTGGCAGGAATCCTCCAGCTGGGAGATGATGGTCTGGATCCGGTCGTTCCCCGCCACCAGCATGGAGATGCAGTTGTTCAGCTCAGTCTGGTGAGTGACAGAGAGGAGAAGTTTTAACTCCTTTGGGGACAGGAACCTGTCCCAGTGCCCAGCTGGGCATTGCTCATCCCAGCTCTGCTGCCCATTTTAACTCCTGCGGGGACAGGAACCTGTCCCAGTGCCCAATGCCCAGCTGGGCATTGCTCATCCCAGCTCTGCTGCCCATTTTAACTCCTGCGGGGACAGGAACCTGTCCCAGTGCCCACTGCCCAGCTGGGCATTGCTCATCCCAGCTCTGCTGCCCATTTTAACTCCTGCAGGGACAGGAACCTGTCCCACTGCCCAGCTGGGCATTGCTCATCCCAGCTCTGCTCCTCCACATTTTAACTCCTGTGGGGACACGAACCTGTCCCAGTGCCCAGCTGGGCATTGCTCATCCCCAGCTCTGCTCCCCCACATTTTAACTCCTTTGGGGACAGGAACCTGCCCCAGTGCCCACTGCCCAGCTGGGCATTGCTCATCCCCAGCTCTGCTCCCCCATTTTAACTCCTTTGGGGACAGGAACCTCTCCCACTGCCCAGCTGGGCATTGCTCATCCCCAGCTCTGCTCCCCCCACATCCCCACCAACCACAGCTGCTCTGAATATTCTAAATATAGCCTGTCTCCTGGGCGAAGTCACCCGGGGGCTATAAATACCCCGTGAGCCATCCCCGCAGTTATTTGTCACTGTCCCAGCCCAGCACATGGCCCTGAGCCCCCCCGGGTCCCCTCCAGGGCACCTTCTGTCCCTGGAAGACGCTTTCCAGAGGGGCCACCTCGCAGTCCTTGTGGGCACCGAAGACCTTGCACATGGAGCAGGTGGGCACCTCGCAGGTGACGCAGTAGATGTTGATGCGCTCGTCCTCGTGCTCCTTGCACATGGGGTGCTCCCCCTTCTTCAGGGGCCTGCTGGAGAGGGTGGCACGGCCTCGGTGACGTCCCCGGCATGGTGACGGCCACAGCAGGGTGACAGCCACAGCAGGGTGATGTCCCCATCACGGTGACATCCATGCCAGGGTGATGTCCCCACCAGGGTGATGTCCCCGTCATGGTAACATCCACACCAGGGTGATGTCCCCATCACGGTGACATCCATGCCAGGGTGATGTTCCTACCATGGTGACGTCCCCGTCATGGTGACAGCCACACCAGGGTGATGTGGACATCACCGGTGATGATCCCTGTCCCCCCTACAGGGACACCCCTGCCACCACGGTGTCCCCACTTCAGCCTCACCCCCACCGTGGTGACACCCCTCCTGTCACCCCAAAATCAGGTCCCCAGGAAAGAGGGGACCTGGCACAATCCCACAGGTCCCCTCTGGGAGCCGCCAGCCCCTGCGTGTCCCAGTTTAGGGCACCGTGGCAGGGTGGCACTGGGGACGGGGGGGCTGCGATCCAGGGGCGCTGCACCAGTGCCTAATTTTAGCCCTGTGCTGCCCGGATTTATTGTCACCATCGTGTGACCGGGGTGGGGAGACCCAGAAAGCCCCGGAGGCTCCCGGACGGGGGCTGCAGCTCAGTCGGGCCATGCACAGCGAGGAGGGACAGGGGGACAGGGCAGAGCTGTGACAGCCCGAGCTCCCCCGGCCCCCCCGGCCACCTGCCACGTGCCATCGTCCCCGTCCCCATGGCTCTCACACAATATTTACAGCAGCCCAGGGGATTTGGCTGGGATCACGCTCTGCCCCGAGAGCCTGTGACCCCTCTGTGCCCCCCAGCTCCATCCTTGTCCCCACTGGGCCCCCCCAAGCCGTCCCTGTGCCCCTGATCAGCCCCGGTGCCTGCTGTCACAGCAGAGCCTGCGTTCCTTCCCCACACCTCTTATCTGCCCCCGAATGTTCCAGCAGGAGCACGGGGACAGCAGGACGTGCCACCACCCCCAGGGACCTGCCATCCCCCTGGGACACCCAGGGGCACTAACTGCTGGGCAGAATTGGGCTGGAGGAGGAACATTTGGATCCAAGGTGGAAGTTTTGGTCCAAGGTGGAAGTTTTGGGTTGGGGGAGGAAGTTTTGGGTCTGGAGAAGAAGATTTTGATCGAGGGAGGGAAATTTGAGTCAGGAAAAGATCCGAATCAGGGATCACCGGGCAGAAAGGCCCCCAGTGCGATCTCCTCAGTGCTGCTGCTGGGACATGGCACGGCCACCCCCGTGTCCCCACGTCCCCACAGCCCCGGCGCCCACCTGGAGCACTCCTGCTTGTAGATGTCGATGATGTTCTCCACCAGCAGGTTCCTCTGCAGCCCGTAGACGCCGTGGCGGTCCAGCAGCACCTCGTGGCGGCACGAGGGGCACCGGAACCGGCCCCCCGAGATCAGAGTGCCCCGGCTCTGCCAGTACGGGTTGGCGGCCTGCCAGGGGGACACGAACGCGGGGAGGGTTCCTCAGTGTCCCTGGGTGTCCCTCGGTGTCCCTCAGTGTCCCTCAGTGTCCCTCAGTGTCCCTGGGTGTCCCTCGGTGTCCCTCAGTGTCCCTCAGTGTCCCTGGGTGTCCCTCAGTGTCCCTCAGTGTCCCTCAGTGTCCCTGGGTGTCCCTGGGTGTCCCTCGGTGTCCCTCAGTGTCCTTCAGTGTCCCTGGGTGTCCCTCAGTGTCCCTCAGTGTCCCTGGGTGTCCCTGGGTGTCCCTCGGTGTCCTTCAGTGTCCCTGGGTGTCCCTCGGGGTCCCTCAGTGTCCCTCAGTGTCCCTGGGTGTCCCTCAGTGTCCCTGGGTGTCCCTCAGTGTCCCTCAGCGTCCCTGGGTGTCCCTGGGTGTCCCTCGGGGTCCCTCAGTGTCCCTCGGTGTCCCTGGGTGTCCCTCAGTGTCCCTCAGTGTCCCTGGGTGTCTCTCAGCGTCCCTCAGTGTCCCCCACTGTCCCTCGGTGTCCCCACCCGGCACAGGGACCCCGCTCACCTGGAACACGTCGTTGGCGCACTTGCGGCACAGGTTGTGCTGGCAGGGCAGGATCACCACGGGCTTGCTGAACATCTCCAGGCAGATGGGGCAGATGAGCTGCTTCTCCAGGCTCTCCATGGCGCTGCCATCGTGCAGGATCCCCGCCTGGAGCTCCATGGGCTCGGCCGCGCTCCGCTCGCTGCGCTCTCGCTGCCGGCGCCCCCCGCCCCGCTTTTATCGGTGCCCCGGTGTCACGCGGCCGCCGCCGGTGTCGGGTGTCCCGGGACAGCACCTGACACCCGGGCCGGGCCGGGAAGGGCCGGTAAACAAGGCGGGCACAGCCTGTCCAGGCGGCGCTGCCCGCCCGTGCCGCGGACGTGCCCGGGCCGGGGCTGCTGCGGGGTAAACAGGGGCGGGCATCGAACCAAAGGGACCCCAAACATCACCCTGGGGGCAAGGGGGACATCGGGATAAACAGGGCCAGGCACGGCCCCAAAGGGACCCCAAACATCGGACAAGGGGTGACACACACAGCCCCGGGGACATTGGGATAAACAGGGCCGGGCATCGAACCAAAGGGACCCCAAACATCACTCTGGGTACACGGGGGGACATCGGGATAAACAGGGCCAGGCACCGCCCCAAATGGGACCCCAAACATCACCCTGGGGGGGACAAGGGGGGCACACACGGCCCCGGGGGCATCAGGGCATGCTGGTGGTTCCAGAAATCTGTCAGAGCTGGCCCAGCTGCGGCACGGGGGGGGTTTGTACAGTTTGTCCCTTTGCCCACCCTGAAACATGAACGACGTGATGTGCCAACATCCCACTGCGGTTCCCTGAGTGCCAGGAGGGGAGAGGCAGCTCTGGGGGCACACAGACCCGGTGCCTGGCACTGGCACAGGGCTGGGGGGCTCCTCAGGCTGTGCCCCACAGCCCTGGCACAGCCCTGGCACAGCCCTGGCACAGCCCTGGCACAGGGATGGCACAGCCCTGGCACAGCTGGCCTCGCTGCTGGGGCTCAGGAGCTGACCCAGAAACGGCCGTGGGAGCAAAGGGTGAGCAGAGCCTGGGCTGCCAGCAGCCCTGACACGGTGCCAGCTGGCTGGGCAGGGCCAGGGCTGGCCCCAGGGAGAGCTGGCAGCTGCACTGCCCTGGTAACCCTACCCCTGGCACAGGGGGCACCGGGGGGGCACAGTGTGGGGCAAGGTGAGCAGCCTCTCAGCTGTTTCGGGGTGCACTGACCCCCCTGTCCCCTCCAGGGCGGTTCCTCAGCTGTTTTGGGCTCCTTCCTCGCTGGCTCACGTGTGCAGCGAGTGACTGTGCCCAGACCTGCGGGCACATCTTGCAAAATCGTTCCTGTCCGGGCACTTGGGGCTCTGCCAGCGAGGCCCTGGCAGCAAACGGGGCTGGCTGGGCTCAGACCCTGCCCGGACCCAGACACGACCCGGGTGACATTGATTAATTAATTGCTTCTGGACTCGGTTAAGGGGATTCACAGCAACGGAGGGGGTGTAATGCCCTAAGCAGCTTTCCCAGCCCACAAGGGGCTCGTTGGCACCTAATTGGCTTGGGACAGCTTAGGCAGGACCCACGGCATTAATCACGCCGGGATCCTTCCCAATTAACCCCGCAGAGCCCGCTGCAGGGATGGATCTCCCTCTGCTTGGCTTCGCAGGGCTCTGGGCAGTGGGTGGCCTCTCCCAAAATGTCCCTGGGGTGGCTGTGCAATGGTTGGGGAGACAGCAGGGCCTGGGACGGGGCTCCTGGGCATGGGGGGCACTTCCAGCCCTGCAGCCTGAGGAGGAAAGGGAGCCATGGCACGGAACAGGGAACAGAACAGAACAGCTCTTGTGTCACTGTCACACCAAGCCAGAGCACAACAAGGGTGACAGGGGCTGTACTGACTTTTTTCTGGACGCCAAGCAGTAAATCATGGAGTCCTGGAACTGTTTGTTTTGGAAGGACCTCAGAGCCCCTCCAGTGCCACCCCTGCCACGGCAGGGACACCTCCCACTGTCCCAGGCTGCTCCAGCCTCAATGTCCAGTCTGGCCTTGGGCACTGCCAGGGATGCAGGGGCAGCCACAGCTGCTCTGGGCACTCTGTGCCAGGTCCTGCCCACCCTCACAGGCACTAATCCCTTCCTCATTCATAAGCAGAAATGTCAGTAATTAACAGATTAATTCATGTAATTAAACATCACCCACGCGCTCGCCCCGCCCCCTAATCTGACCAATCACAGGGCGGTGTGCACGGAGTGGGCGTGACCATTTGGGTGGGCGTGGCGGAGTGGGCGTGGCCGCGCTGAGGAAGGCGGGCGGGCGCAGCGCAGCCCTAAGATGGCGGCCGGGCGGCGGCGGCGGCGGCGCTGAGGTAACGCGGCTGCTCCGGCCCGGCCCGGCCCGGCCCGGCCCGCGGCCGGCCCTGTCCTGTCCTCCCGGGCCCCGGGGGTTGGAGCGGCCGGGATCCGCGCTGCAGGTTGGGCGGGGGTGGGGTCGATATGCACTACAGCGGGCAGGGCCCAGCGGGCCGGCATCATCCGCCGCTGCGGGGCGAGCGGTGCGCCGGTGCTTCCCTTCACAGGTGGGGGCCCGGTGCGGCCGCGCCGAGCGGGAGGGGTCAGTTTATATTACCTATATTAATTACCTACATTCTCTATATATTTATATTATTCCAATAAAATAAATTAACGCGGCGGGCGGCGCTGCCCGGCCCGGTGTCCGCTCGGCCGGGCCGGCCCCGGGGCCCCGCAGCACCGCGGGCCGGAGCGGGGCCAGGGGCGGCCCCGGGGCTCGGGGACAGGTCCCGGTGTGCCCGCTCGGAACCCGCTGTGCTGTGCTTGAGGAACGCGGTGTCTGCCCCGGAGCTGTTTGGCCGCTGGGAAATAACAAATTACAGCTCCTGCCCTTGCTGGCCCGTTCATCTCGGTGCCGATGGGAGATTGCAGGTCCTGCCCTTGTTGTCCCTCGATCTCGGTGCCGATGGGAGATTGCAGGTCCTGCCCTTGTTGTCCCTCGGATCTCGGTGCCGATGGGAATTTACAGCTCCGGCCCTTGTTGTCCCTCGGATCTCGGTGCCGATGGGAATTTACAGCTCCGGCCCTTGTTGTCCCTCGGATCTCGGTGTTCAGGCTCTGACCCGGAGCCCCAGCCCTGCTGCAGGTGCAGCCCCGGCCCTTCCCGCGTTCCTCACCCACGGCACATCTCGGTTCAAATCCTTACTGCACTGCAAATGTCCCTCGCACAGCTTTGCTGAAAGGTTAAAATATCTCTCTAGCATTGCCTGAGACTGATGATACCTTTTTTCTCTCTCTTTTTCTTTTTTTTTATTTTTTTTCTAAAAAAAAAAATATTGCCTAAAGCAGTGGAAATACTTGAAATCTTCCTACTAATAACAGGCCGTTTCAATGTGGTCCTTATTGCCTGACATAAAGAGAATTACCTTTATCACTGGCTGTCTTAAAGCTATTGTAGTTCTGATCTATCAGTGTGATTTTATTTATTTATTTACTTTTGGTTTTGCGTTTCATTCTGTTTGATCCTTGGCTAGTCAAGCTCTTAATTTTATTTTTTTTTTATTTTAATTTATTGCTGTCTCTAGCCAGTGTCCCGTTTTGGTTTGGTTGTGTGAAGCTGGTGCTGGTGTTTGGTTTGTAATCCTGTAGGGCAGCGTGCAGGGAGGGTCATAAATCTGCAGCAGGGTTTGGTGGCTTTTTTTTTTTCCTCCTTTTTTTTGTGTGTGTGTGTCTCTTGTTTTACTTTCAGAGCAATAACTTAACTTTTGTCCTTGCTCTGTTGAGCAAAAGTGAAAGTTAGATGCTGGGTGCAAACTTCTGCCATCAGTTATCCTTTTTAACCCTTCATAGCTGTAGATTCCTCATGCAGAGGGAGGCTTGGTGAGAAATCAGTCACCTCAAAAGTTAAACGGGGAGCGACTGAAGCTTTCTCTTCTCTGAGTAAAACAATTACAACAGAAATTATAACAATTATAACAGAGTTTGCTCCTGCAGCCACCTGCACAAAAAGGCAGTTTAATTGAGATTGCAGCCCCACCAGGGGTTCAGCTGGGACCTGCTGCGCTCTCCGGGCTGGATGGGGAGCATGCCAGCCCGCTGCTGTTCCTGCAGATGCTCGCGGAGGACGCTGAGGCAGAGGAGCAGGAGCGCTCTCCAGAGCCCCGGCTCGGCACCGTCCCAGTCTAGGTTTGAATTGCTGCCGCCTTGAACACGCCGGGCTGTATTTGAAATCGTAACCAAACAAAAAGATGTGATTTCGCTTCCACCTGGTCCGGGGCAGGCAGGCGCAGGTTTATGGAGGAGCTTCTGGAACGTTTTGAACCCCCGTTGTCGGCGGGGTCTGGGCAGGCCAGCCCCTAGGGGGGGAAATGCAGCCCGGCTCCTGTGCCTAAGCTTTAGCTGTGTGGGTTTCTCCCCCTTCCCCAGAACCTTTGCTCTTGAAGATGGTGAGTAGCCAGCCTAAGTACGATCTAATTCGGGAGGTTGGTCGTGGCAGTTATGGTGTGGTGTACGAAGCGCTCGTCAGGAGGACCTGTGCCCGCGTGGCCGTCAAAAAGATCCGGTGCCACGCTCCCGAGAACGTGGAACTGGCCCTGCGCGAGTTCTGGGCCCTTAGCAGTATCAAGAGCCAGCACCCCAACGTCATCCACCTGGAGGAGTGCATCTTGCAGAAAGATGGCATGGTGCAGAAGATGGCCCATGGCTCCAGCTCCTCCCTGTATCTGCAGGTACACGAGGCCGAGGGGACGGGGTGAGCTGGGGGGAAGGAGGTGGGACAGCTGAGGGTTTGAGCTGTGCCCAGCTAGGCCAGGGGGTTGGCTGCATTGCTGACAGAATTTAATGGAGATTTGTGAAAGAACCTGAATAGTCACCTGGATCTTGGGTTTGAAGGTGGAGTCCCATGGCTCCAGCTCCTCCCTGTATGTGCAGGTACACGAGGCCAAGGGGACGGGGTGGAAGGAATTGGTGATGGTGAGCTGGGAGGAAGGAGGTGGGACAGCTGAGGGTTTGAGCCGTGCTCAGCTAGGCCAGGGGATTGTGTGCATTGCTGACACCCAGAATGTAATAGAGAGCTTTAAGAACAAACTCCGCAATCACCTGGATCCTGGGTTTGAAGCTGTGCTGCTCTGGAAGACTCCAGAGTTTGTGTTTAATGCAAATCTGCTGTGATAACTTGAGGAAGCCCAGGGCAGCTGCAGGCTGTGGAGTTCTTGGCAGCTGCAGGTTAAAGAACACTCCTGTCCTGGGACAGAGCTTGGAGGAATTCCATCCTGGGTGCCTTGGAAATCGGTGTCTTGATCTATAGGAAGCCAGCACTCAAAATTCCTTCAGAAACAAGCATCAATTGGTAGCACATCATGAGCTGGCTTTAGTTTTTAATAAATAACTGTTTAAGTTAATCTCTTCAAAGAGTATAAATTAGGGAATACATATCACTGTGGAAGTGTCCTTTTAAGTTTGAAGCTGTCTATGTTTGAAGAATAAGTAGCTCTGGAAAGACATTGAAAGACAATCTAATTAATTCCCTTGTCAAGAAGCAGCCCTGAGTATAAATCACCCCCGGGCAGAAGTCAGCGTTCCTGGTTCAAACAGCCGCAGCCTGCTCAGTGTTTGCTGTGTTCTCCCCAGCCAGCTGCTCTTATTTCAGTGTTCACTGCCACCCTGCTGTCTCAGAATGGGATCCCTGGCTGTGCCAGTCCCTGTGGCCTGGGAGCTGCTCCTGACTTGTTCTCAGGGAAGGATTAGGCTGAAATAACAGGGGCAGGAGTCAGAGCCTCACCTTCCTGGTGTGCAGGGAGGAGCTTTGAAGGCCCCGGGTGGAGCTGCAAGGTGGGGAAGAGCCCCCAGCTCTGGCTGGGCTGGTGGTGCTGGGAGCAGCTGGCACAGGTGCCAACAGCACGGATTGTTTTGCTGCTGCAGGGAGGAGGGCAAAGGGCAGAGCTGAGCTGAGTGCCAGGGTCACTGTGGGGCAGGCTGGGCTGTGCCAAGGGCAGGCAGAGCCCCTCTGTTTTCCAGGGGATGGCACAGAGCTGAGCTGGGTGCCAGGGCTGTGCCAAGGGCACCAGAGCCCCTCTGCTATCCCAGGGGATGGCACAGAGCTGAGCTGAGTGCCAGGGCTGTGCCAAGGGCAGGCAGAGCCCCTCGGCTGTGCCAAGGGCAGGCACAGCCCCTCTGCTGTCCCAGGGGATGGCACAGAGCTGAGCTGAGTGCCAGGGCTGTGCCAAGGGCACCAGAGCCCCTCTGCTCTCCCAGGGATGGCACAGAGCTGAGCTGAGTGCCAGGGTCACTGTGGGGCAGCCTGGGCTGTGCCAAGGGTACCAGAGCCCCTCTGCTCTCCCAGGGGATGGCACAGAGCTGAGCTGAGTGCCAGGGCTGTGCCAAGGGCACCAGAGCCCCTCTGCTCTCCCAGGGGATGGCACAGAGCTGAGCTGAGTGCCAGGGTCACTGTGGGGCAGCCTGGGCTGTGCCAAGGGCACCAGAGCCCCTCTGCTCTCCCAGGGGATGGCCCAGAGCTGAGCTGCTGCTGCTGTGGGTGAGGAGCCTGGGCAGATCCTCAGTGACCCGAATCTGCAGAGCTGGATCCTCAGTCAGCCTCGTGTGCTGTGCTTTGCCTCTGGCACAGATGTGCGGGTGGATTTTGTTGTGTTAACTCTCACAATGTCTGCAAGTGCAGCTGCTGTGACTCTGTGTTGATGCCCTCTTGGCAGGGGAGGCTCCCTGCTCTCCTGAGATACCTTAATCTCACAGTTCCTGACTTCAAACCCTAAATAAGGCATTTCTTAGCTCTAAAATAGATTTACTGCTTAAAGAAGATAGCTGTAAATTACCACAATTTTTCTCTAGAAAAGGTCACTTTTTAAGAGCATTTCAGAATGCCTGTCTAGATATTAACACACCCCTTCATTTTTGAAAGCCAGTTTGATTTAGCATCCATTGGTTTACTACTAACAGAAATAATTGCAGGACTTTCCTTCCAGAGCCACCTCAGAGGAGCTGAAGAGGCAAATGCAGTGGTGTAAACAGGATTAGCAAAATGATTGCAGGTTTTACTTTGCTTTCTGTGTGGAGCAGCTGTAAGAACTGGCTGTTCCTGAAAATACCCTGTGGGTAGTGATGGTGGGAAGGGTGTTCTGTGCTCAGCTATGCCTGCAGATCAGTGTTCTCCTGAGTTCAGGATCCTGTGTTAGCTTGCTGGAAGTCATGGATGTGTCAGGAATGGGGAGGGCTTTAAAAATCTCTCCTGGATAAGTACAGCTGTGTGGAGTTACTTGTGAGACTTTGTTTATCCCGAAGAGCTGTTGGCAAAGTGGGTGGGACAGGCTTTGTCAGGGTGGGACGCTGTCCAGCTGGGACAGATGGGAGGGCAATGGCCACTGGTATCTCTAAAACCTCTGTTATCAGGGTCGAGCTCTGCTGCTGAGCAGGAGCCTGAGCTTGATACGCTCCGCACCAGGGAAGATAAGGAGGCTGGCAAATATATTGTGATTTTGTTTTTTTCTCTCTTTTACATAAAAACATTTGCATCGTGTTTTCTTTGCCCCGTTGCAATACCTTGCTCTGTGGATTGTTGAGGGGAGGGTCAGACAGAGTGGTCTGGGTTGGAAGGGATCCTTAACCCCATCTCATTCCCATGGGCAGGGACATCTTGCACTGTCCAAGGCGACTCCAGCCTGGCCTTGGGCACGTCCAGGGCTCCAGGGGCAGGCGCAGCTTCTCTGGGCACCTGTGCCCTCTGCAGCCCCACAGGGAGCAATTCCTGCTGTGTAACTAACCCGAATTTCCCCTCTCTGTGAAGATCCTGACTGCATGCTCTTGTCCATCAAACCCTTCCCACCATCCCCAGGTACTCACATGCCCTGCTCTCCTCGCTGCAGCTCGTGGAGACCTCACTGAAAGGAGAGATAGCCTTTGACCCCCGGAGCGCGTACTACCTGTGGTTCGTGATGGATTTCTGCGACGGCGGCGACATGAACGAGTACCTGCTGTCGCGCAAGCCCAGCCGCAAGACCAACACCAGCTTCATGCTGCAGCTCAGCAGCGCCCTGGCCTTCCTGCACAAGAACCAGATCATCCACCGCGACCTCAAGCCCGACAACATCCTCATCTCGCAGGGCCGCGCGCCCGCCGAGCCCACGCTGAAGGTGGCGGACTTCGGGCTCAGCAAGGTGTGCTCGGCCTCGGGCCACAGCGCCGAGGAGCCCGTCAGCGTCAACAAGTGCTTCCTGTCCACCGCCTGCGGCACCGACTTCTACATGGCCCCCGAGGTGTGGGAGGGCCACTACACGGCCAAGGCCGACATCTTCGCCCTGGGCATCATCATCTGGGCCATGCTGGAGAGGATCACCTTCGTGGACACCGAGACCAAGAAGGAGCTGCTGGGCAGCTACGTGCGGCAGGGCGCGGCCATCGTGCCCGTGGGCGAGGCGCTGCTGGAGAACCCCAAGATGGAGCTGCTCATCCCCGTCAAGAAGAAGTCCATGAACGCCAGGATGAAGCAGCTGATCAAGGAGATGCTGGCGGCCAACCCGCAGGACCGGCCCGACGCCTTCGAGCTGGAGCTGCGGCTGGTCAACATCGCCTTCAGGGACAGCAGCTGGGACACGTGAGGGCTCCTGCAGGGGTGCTCAGCACCTCCAGGGGTGCTTAGCACCTCGCTGCTGGAGATTCCCGACTAAGGGAATGTGGAGTTGGCCGCTGTGAAATCCCCGAGGGCGTTCCTGGGGCTGCTGTGCTGGCACGGGCATGTGGGCATGTCGCAAGAGCCAACACTACTTGATTTCCAGCACTCTCTCATGGAGTGTCCCACACATTCCAGTTTCCTATGTCAGTGTTAGGAACTCTCCTCGTGGAAAAAAAAAGGAGGAAAAAATAGATTTGCATGCTGGCAGTGCAAATCTTGAGGCTTTGTAATGTAGTCTGTGTATATATTTATGTATATGAGTGACTGGGAGTGTGTGGCACTTAAATTATTTGCTGTGGGTCTGGATGATTGGGGTCTGCTAGAAATCTGGGTGAAGAAAGTGAGTGAGAAAAACTCCTTCCTCCCCAGGCCTGAATGACTTTATTATTTATTTTTGTTACCTAATTTCAAAGACTTGACTTTGTAAACAAAAAAAGCAATGCAAGGGGATCAGCTGCTTTCAAAGTGCTAAGGTGGCTGGTCTTGGCACTTAGAGCTTAATGAGCTCATCACTGAGGGAGTCAAATTAGAAATGTACAGTCAGGTGCTGGCAGGGGGGCTGGCTCACTGATCAGTTGATTTTGCTTTTATTAATCAGTTAATTTGCCTTTTCTCACCTGGAAATGGCTGTAAGTATTTCCTTGTACAATTTGCTTTTTGAAGTCTGTTCCCTCTTAGTGTTGGGACAGCAGTTCTGGGCACTCAGTGTTCGTTTTCCGAGTGCAAATAAACAGAATGTTATTTTTTGGTTTTCCAAAAGCAAAGGATTCTGATTCCACCCAGCTTGTGGGGCTTTACAGACCACGGGTGGCTCTTACCTGGTGCTGTGTGAGCTGGTGCCTGTCCCCAGCTGGCCTTAGTTCACAATTCTTGTTGTTTCCTTTCACTTCATCCTCGTAGGGGGTGATCCTCAGACAAACACACTTTGCTTGTGCCAACTCTGCCTCCCAGTTCTCACCTCTCAGCAGGGTGAGAAAAGGGGGTTTATCATTCATGTTAAACTTGGGAGCTGTTTAACAGCAAAGGGGTGAGCACCCCCTCCCTTACCCAGCCAGAATAACAGAAATACAGAATTACAGAGCCAGAATCAGCACTGCTCCCCTCTGAGGTGCTCTGTGAACCACCCAGGTCCCCTCTGCCTGCAGGGCACAGACCAGGGGCTGGCACAGGGAAGTTTGGGGCTTTTGACTCCCAAAGTGTTTCTTTGCACTGATTGCCACTTTATAGGCTGGGGGTGCCTGAAATCCCTCTCATGGTGCTTCTCCTCGCTGTTGGGTGACACTGGTAGTCCTCGAGCTCTGTGTTCTCTTTGATTTTTTTGTTGTCTGAGGTCTTTTGTTTTGAGAAAATCAATCAAGTTGTTGTAGCAGCTGCTGGGTCGTTCACCAGCGTGACACGAAGTCAAGACACTTTTCAGCACTTGGGAAAGATTTTTTTTGTTTTTTTCCATGTTTTTCCTTTAAAAACTGTAAAATATATTTTACAGAGAATTTATAATGAGGAAAATTATTGTGTAATTTATTAAGTTCATGACTGTTTTTGAAATAAAACCTTGAATTTCGATGAAGTTTTAGGAAGTGCTTTCAGTGCAGTGTCAGTGCTGCCCTCCAGGGACAGCCCTGAGAAACCTTGGGAGTGGAGGTGAGGAAACATCATTACTTATCCATGACAGGAACGTGTGGCCCTCATTTGCATGTTTTAATTAGCAGCGCTCTGGACAGAGGGATCTGCAGGCTGGAAATGCCGTGAGCGAGTTTCTGTTGGAATTTCTTACACCCACAGCAAACCCGAGCCCAGCCCTGTGCCCTGGGGGTTCCTGTGCCAGGAATTCCCACCTGGAATGGGCACGTGCCCACCTGGTGCTTGGGTCAGTGCAGTTTGGGTTTAGATTCATTTTTTTAGGAGTAGTAAAGGAGAAAGTCCCACTTTTGGATTGGTTCTAAGAGTGGTGATTTTAAGTAGAGACACAAGCTGAATTCCTTCCCCACAAAATGAAGAACAGTAAACCTGAGATATATATATATATATATATATATAGACATACACACATATATATAATATGTATGCTGTACTTCAAATATATTTAGCCCCTAGGGAGGGTGTGGAAAGCTGCAGGGAGATGCCCTGGTGCAGAAATGAGATGTAATTAAAGCTCATTGGGCTGGGAGAGCCCAGCCCCAGAGGTTCAGGCTCCAGCCTGCCCCTCCCCATTCCCAGGGCTGGGAACTCGCCTGTGTTGGTGCTTTTGGTTTGTTTTGGTCCAACCAGAGCACGTTTTTCGTTTGGTTTGGTCCAACCAGAGCTTCCCTGGGTCTGTGTGGGGCAGGCAGAGCCCTTGGGAGGTTGCTCAGCTGCTCCCTCCTTGGGGCACAGCCAGCCCGGGGTCTGGGGGCTTTTCCCTTTCTCACAGCCCCTGGGACGTCCCTGGCTCCGTGCTTTGGGTCCCTCCTGGTGCTTTGGGGACAGAAGGGCCCAGGGAGAGCCAGTGAGGAATTTAAACCCCAGCCTCAGTGGTGCGGGTGGTGCTGCCAGGGCTCCCCTTTCCTGCCAAGGAAATTCCTGTGCTGCAGCCCAGGAAAGGCACAGGGATGTGCCCAGAATGCCACAAACCCCCCAGAGCACCCAAGGGACGCAGGTGAGGTGGGAACACCTGCGTGAGCTGCTCAGGAGCTCTGGAAGGGCTTGGGGAAATCTGAAACCCCATTTCTAGGAGCAGGGAGGTGTCGAGTGGCCGCTGCTGCAAGAGGAGCCCAGCCCGGGCTGTTCCTGTTCGTTCCGGAGGCTCCTTCACCCTCAGCTTTGGGATGGAACCAGATGCAACCTGAAAACCTAAAAAACTTTGTGGCAGTGCTGGGTTCAGGCTCCATCCTGACCCTGGACTGGTTCCCTCAGCCCCGGCAGCTCCTCCTGTGTCTGTCCTGGCTGTCCCTGTGTCCCTGTGTCCCCAGCCCTGCTCTGCCACGGCTTTGGAGCCTTTTGGGGTTGGAGCATTCCCGGCAGCTCCTCCTGTCCCTGTCCCTGTCCCTGTCTGTCCTGGCTGTCCCTGTGTCCCTGTGCCGCAGCTTTGGAGCCCTTTGGGGTTGGAGCAGCCCCAGGAACTCGTCCTGTCTCTGTCCTGGCTGTCCCTGTGTCCCTGTGCCATGGCTTTGGAGCCTTTTGGGGTTGGAGCAGCCCCGGGAGCTCCTCCTGTCCCTGTCCTGGCTGTCCCTGTGTCCCCAGCCCTGCTCTGCCACGGCTTTGGAGCCTTTTGGGGTTGGAGCAGCCTCAGAAACTCGTCCTGTCCCTGTCCCTGTCTGTCCTGGCTGTCCCTGTGTCCCCGTGCCGCGGCTTTGGAGCCCTTTGGGGTTGGAGCAGCTCCCACCCCGACGTGCCCCGACACGCGGTGCCTGCTCGGCCGGGCCGCTGCTCTCGGGTTCGTTCGTGCCCGTTTGAGCCCTGAGGTTTGGAACTCGTCGGACGAGCTCCCATCGCCGCCCCGCCCCGAGGGCAGCCCGAGCCTCTCTGGCGTTCGCCTTTCCCGTGGGGGAATCGGGGGCCGATCCCAGAGCTGCCGAGGGTTTCTCCATCCCTGGCCTGATCCTGTTCCCTGTCCTCCACCAGACTGGCTCCAGTGCAGCCTCACCGAGTGCTGCCGGCTGTGCTGCTCTCCAGGTTTATTAGAGGGGTGATCTGGCCCTTCCTCGCTGTCACTGGGGTTTTTTCCAGCCTGCAGAGCTCAGACCAGGCGTGGCCCCTCTCCCCCTGCCCAGGCCCCATTTCAGCCCCCGTTTTCCCGCACGGGACTCCCGGTCCCAGCCCCTTCCTGCCCCGCTGTCACCGGCCGGGAAGGGGCCGGGCACAGCCCCAGGCCCGTTCCCGGCAGCTCCTCAGGAAGGAACCGGGCTGGGGACGGAGAGCTGGGGGACAGAGCCCCCCTCATGCCGGGGTTTGTCCCCCCGAGCCCCTCATTCTCTGTGAGCACCCCCAAACCGGGGGGTGCAGGGGCTGCGGCTCCCGGGGAGCTCCGGGGCTTTCTCTGGTTCCTCTCCGAGGGTCGGGAGCCCAGCTCGAGGGGCACCGGGACCTTCTTTCCTTCCCCCCCTGCTCCAGTGCCACGTTCGCAGCCCCCCGGGCCGGACAGGGCATGGAGGGGGCCGGGATTGTCCCTGTGGGAGCGCTCGGGAAGGGAAGAGGGCAGCGGTAAAAATAACCCCTGGGCCAGCTCCAGCCCATTGCGGCTTCCTGCGATTTACAGCCCTTCCCGGGGGGAAGAGGCAGGAACGGCCGGCTCGGGGCCGGCTGTGACCCTTTCACCGCCACCGGAGAAGGTGCCAGAATCCTTTCCTGGGGAGGGGATTGTGGAAGGAAGCGGAGGGAGGAGAGGAGCCGGCAGAGCGTGAGCTGCGGGAGGAGAGGGGTTAATGCTGGCCAGGGTCAGCGCGGGTGGGCTCCTGCCGCGGCGCTGGGCTGGCACGGGTTAATGGGTGGCTCTTCCTCTTCCTCATCCTCTATATGAGACTGCTCCCGGCTCTGGGCTCAGTTTTGTGCCGGAGGGGAAGGAGCTGCGTGAGACTGGAGCATCCCATCCCTGCATCCCATCCCTGCATCCCTGCGAGGGCTCAGGTGAGTGAGAGCATCCCCCACCTGCCTGGCACGGGTCCTGGCACGGGTCCTGGCCGGGGGGCTGGACTGGGGAGGGTGAGGGTCCCAGCCCGGAGCGCAGGGCCAGACACCCCGCGTGCCTCAGTTTCCCCGTGTGTACCCAGACTGGGTGCGGTGTGAGCCCGTGGGCTGCGTGTGGAGCTGCGTGGCCGAGGCTCGCTGGGCTCTTTGCTCCCGTGAGCTCTGCACTGCCCGGCCCCGCGTCCCTGCTGTCACCGGGGCTGGTTCCGTGTCCCTGCTGTCCCCCAGGGGTGGTTCCGTGTAGTGCTCTCACCCGGGGCTGTTCCATGTCCCAGCTCTCACCCAGGGCTGGTTCCGTGTCCCTGTGTCCCCCAGGGCCGGTTCTGTGTCCCTGCGTCCCTCAGGGCTGGCTCCGTGTCCCTGCCGTCCCCCAGGGCCGCTTCTGTGTCCCTGTGTCCCTCAGGGCTGGCTCCGTGTCCCTGCCGTCCCCCAGGGCTGGTTCCGTGCCCTCCGCACACGGAAAAAGGGGGAATCCTCCGTCCCAGCCGGGCACGGCTCGGGACCCCCCAGCCCCGGGCGGCTCTCCTGAGCCCGGCTTTGTTCCGCCGCTCGGGAACACAAGGCGGGGGCCGGCCCCGGTATTTTTTCCTGTTGGAAGCCGCTCCTGGGATGCGGCCGGAGCCGGCGGACGCTCGGCGCTTCTCCCTTCCTGCCCGGGGCTGTTCCAGCCTGGAGTGCCAGGACTCGCTCTCCGTGTGCCATTGAGGGGACCCTCAGCTCTGCTTCAGCCCCATCCTCCTCCTCCTCCTCACCGCTGCACCCTCGGGGCTGACCCTGACTCTCCTCTCTCCTCCAGGGCTGAATCCAGGAGCCGAACGAAGCTTCGGGAGCCTCCTGACGCAGAGAGATCGGCAGCGATCAGCAGCGATCGGCAGAGATCAGTAGCGATCAGGAGCGATCAGCAGAGATCTGCAGCGATCAGCAGCGATCGGCAGAGACCATCAGTGATCAGCAGCGATCAGCAGCGATCAGCAGCGATCGGCAGCGACAGGGGAGATCAGCGGCGCCGTTCCGGGGCCATGGTGCCCTTGGGCAGCCCCACTCTCGCCGTGTGCGCCTCCAGCAACCTGCGCCTCATGGCCCCGGGGCGCGGCTCGCCGCTGGCCTGGCTGAACCGGGGCCCCGAGTGCCCGGGGGGCAGCGGGGGCCGCAGGGCCAGCGCCGTGGAGCGCCTGGAGGCCGACAAGGCCAAGTACGTGAAGTCGCAGCAGGTGATCAGCCGGCGGCAGGAGCCGGCGCTGCGCGGCTCCCCGCGCCTGTCCCCGCACGGGCGGCGCCGCCTGGCCCGGCAGCCGTGCCGGGAGCTGGGCCCGGAGCTGCCGGGCCCCCCGTCCCCCGTGTCCCGCCGCGGCGGCGGCCGCCGCCTGCTCAGGCCCGACTCGCTCATCATCTACCGCCAGAAACGGGACTGCCTGGGCGGCGACAAGGAGAACAACGCCAAGGGCTCGGGGCTGGTGCGGCGCCTCTTCCAGGGACCCCTGAGAGCCACCCCGCCCAGCTCGCCCCCCGCCCGGAGCCCCCGGACCCCCATGCTGTGGGCGCCGGCCGAGAGGGAGGAGCGGACACCGGGAGGGGACGGCAGCGGTGCCAGCGGCGGGGACAGCGGCGGGATCCCCCCCGTGCCCGTGCCCGTGCCCGTGCCCGTGCCCGCGGAGCAGCCGCCCGGTGCCCCCGGGAAGAAGCCGCTGGCTCTGCGCGTGTCGCTGCCGCTCTCGGAGCAGGAGCGCTTCTTCAACTACTGCGGGCTGGACCGGGCGCAGGTGGAGCTGCTGGGCCGGGAGCGCTTCGGGCCCGCGGGCTGGGACAGCGGCTCGGCCCGGGCCGGCTCCGGCGAGTCCGAGCCCGGCCGGGCCTCGGGGGGCAGCGAGGGGGACGCGGGGCCGGGCGAGGAGGAGCCGGACACCCGGGCGGGCGCGGCCGTGTCGGTGGTGGAGCGCAACGCGCGGGTCATCAAGTGGCTCTACGGCTGCCAGAGAGCCTGGGCGGCTGCCAGGGAATCCACGGTGTGAGCGGGCACGGCCCGGCCGGGACCGGGGCTCCGCTGCCTGCAATGGACCCCGAGCCCCCGCGGGATGTGGCCCAGGGGCTGGGGGCACCCATGGCCGTGGTGACACTCCTGGCCCCGGTGGCACCCATGTCCCAATGGCACCCCTGGCTCTGGTGACACCCATGGCCCCGGTGCCGTGGGGATGCTGCGGGCCGGGAGAGCCGCCAGGTCCTCAGGCTGAGCGTGGTGGGGACACCTGAGGGCAGGTGAGGAAGGGCCACCCCCGCTGCTGTCCCCCTGCTGTCCCCCACCTTCTCCCTGTCCCCAGCCCAGAGGGTGGCACAGGCCCGCAGCCCCCATTCACCGCCCAAATCCTGTTCCAGCTGCAGGCTGGGAGTGGGCAGAGCCCGAGCCCCCTCCCGTGGGCAGCGCCCACCCCTCAGCCCCCTCCTCCTCCCCAGAACAGCGGCTGCTGGGGCCAGAGCTGCCCTCAATAAATCAGTTTGGGGTTTTTTCTAGCCTGGCAGTGTGTGTGGCTGTGGGGGGATGCCCAGGGCTGGGGGGCCGTGGGGCTGTTGGAGGGTGAGGGAAGGAAAGCAGCAGGCAGAGCTCAGGGAAAAAGGGAATTTTTGGGGTCTTTGCGCAGCTGTGACACCCAAACCCAGGGCAGAGCCCTCGGGCACGGGCACCAGCAATGGGGACCGCAAATAACTTCTGGCCAGTCCTGCTGCTGCCCCCTCCTCTAGTTGCCCTTGGGGGCGCCTTTATTGCGGATCTCGGCCAGCTTGCCGGCCAGGAAGCCCCAGTGGAAGGCGCCTTCCTCCGGCTCCCGCAGGTCGCTGCCGTCGTCACCCGGCGGCTCCCCCGGGCTCTCGTCGGGCTCCGGGGGCGGCCCCGCCTTGTCGGGCCCCGCCGCCTGCTGCCACTTGCTGGCGAAGAGATCCCAGAACCCGGGAGCCTTCTCGGGGTGGGGCGGCTCGGGCGGCTCGGCCAGAGGGCTGCGGGAGAGAGCGGGGACGGGAATGTCGGGGCAGGGACCGGGACCTTCCCCCGGCCCGCCGCGCCCCGTCCGTGCCCACCGGGGAGGGGGATGCCGGCCGTGGGGTGGGGGGTGCGGGTGGGCTGGGCAGGGCCCGGGGGTCGGATCGGGGTTCTGGGCTCGGATCAGGTTCTGGGGTCGGATCGGGTTCTGGGGTGGGATCGGGGTTCTGGGGTCGGATCCGCGTTCTGGGGTGGGATCCACGTTCTGGGGTCGGATCCGCGTTCTGGTGTGGGATCGGGGTTCTGGGGTCGGATCGGGGTTCTGGGGTGGGATCGGGGTTCTGGGGTCAGATCGGGTTCTGGGGTCGGATCGGGGTTCTGGGGTGGGATCGGGGTTCTGGGGTCGGATCGGGTTCTGGGGTCAGATCCGCGTTCTGGGCCCCCCCCCAGCGCTCTGTAACTCACTGGTCCGGGCAGGGCTCCGGGCTCAGCAGCTGGTGCTCGTCCTCGCGGGTGAAGAGGGACGAAAGCGTCCTCCAGCCGCGGGCCCCGACCCCCTGCACCTGCGGGGGCAGCGCCGGGGTCACCGGGAGCTCCGGCCGCGGTGTCCCCCCGCCCCGCCGCCCCCAGCCCCCTCCTCACCTTGCGGGCCAGCTGGGACACGGGGCTGGCCCCCTCCTCCAGCAGTGCGGGGGGCTCGGCCGTCTCCATCAGCTCGGGGGGCTCTGCCTGCAACGAACCCCGGTGAGGGCACGGCTGAGGGCCGGGAGGGGGGTCAGGGACCCCCTTTTGGGGACCCCCCACCGTACCTCGTCCTGCAGGGCCCCGTCGGGGCGCGGCGCCCCCAGGGTCTGCAGCACCTTGGCCTTGTAGAGCCGCCAGAAGCCCTGGGCCATGGCGAGGGGCTCGGCGGGGCCGCAGCCGGCGGAGCCGCGGGCAGCGGGGAGGGCCGGACGGGCGATCCGGTGGCTTCATTAAAGTTTCAGCGGCCGCTTGCTCCGCACAAAAGGAATCTGAGCCCGGGCCGAGCCGGGGGCAGCGCGGGGGCGGCTCCTCCGGTCACCCCCAAAACCCATCCCGAGCCCCCCGCCCCTGCCCCCCGGTGCCCCTAGCCCACCCGGGACCCCCGGGGCTGGGACACCCCCACATGGTGCAGAGGGGGCGCTGGAGCTCCGCGCTCCCCCCGCCGCGGGTCCCCATCTATAATTGATCACGGCGGAAACACGATCGGTGCCGGAACACGGCGGAACACGCTGAGCCCTGCCCCGCTCATGGCAGCGGTGACCGGGGCAGGGCAGGGGACACGGGGGGGACACGGGAACAACGTGGGCATGGTGGCAGCGGGGCTGGGGGGGCGCGGGGAGCGTTCCGGGACCGTCCCGGTACCGGGGACACGGTGCTGGGGGCGGGGCCTATCGGTGTGGGCGTGGCTTCACACGATGGGCGTGGCCATGAGCGACGCTCATTGCATATGGGCGGGGCGTGCTGCGGCGTGGGCGTGTCCCGCAGGCCCGCGCCTGCGCAGTGCGGCGCACCGGAGCATGCGGCCGCCATGTCGCCGCGGAACGGGCGGCGCACCGGGGCGCACCGGGCGCACTCGCTCGCCCGCCAGCTCAAAACCAAGCGGCGCCGGCGCGACCTGGACGAGATCCACGCGGACCTGAAGCCCGAGAACGCCGCGCGGCTGCTGCGGCAGGAGATCGACCCCGACCTGCCGGGCTGCGCGCAGTTCTACTGCCTGCACTGCGCGTGCGTGCGGCGGGGATATCGGGGGGATACCGGGGGGATACCGGGGGTCTCGGGGCTCGGGGGCAGCTCCGGTCTTGGCATGGGCTTGTCCTGCTCCGGAGGGTCCCGGGTTCCCGGGGCAGGTGGGGGAGTTGTCCCGGTCCCTGAGGTTCCTGGGATGGGGTCGGCCTGGTCCCGGGGGTCCCTGTCCCTGGTTGGGGTGCTCAGCCCTGGGGGTCTCTGTCCCTGGGATGGGGTGCTCAGCCTTGGGGTCCCTGTCCCCTCGGAGGTTGATTCCGGGGGTCCCTGTCCCCTGTTCCTGTCCCCCTCCCCCTTGGGGAGCATCTTGTCCTGGTCTCAGGGTGACCCCAGGGCTGTGGTGGGACCCTGCCCCCTCAGCAGGACCCTCCTCAGCCCCCCTTCATTCTCAGGGTCCCCCTGACCCCCATCCTTTCCTTCCCCAGGCGCTATTTCGTGGACCTGAACAGCATGAAGGAACATTTCAGATCCAAGGTGCACAAGAAGAGGTGAGGGGTGGGGGCAGACCCCAATTCCCGGGGTGAGAGGGTGCAGGGGCGGTTGTGGGCAGTGGATCCTCACCCCCCGTGTGCCCCCAGGCTGAAGCAGCTGCGAGAGGCCCCGTACACGCAGGAGGAGGCTGAGCGTGCTGCCGGCATGGGCTCCTACGTGCCCCCGAAGAAGGTGGAGGTGCAGACCCAGCCCCTGGAGGAGGTCACGGAGATGGAGACGTCGGGCTGAGCGCAGGGACAGGGCTGAGAGGCTCTGTAAGGACGCCTTTGTCTCAGCTCTGTGACAAAACGTGTCCCAGCTCTGCCAGCCAAATCCACCCTGCTCCTCCACAGCCCCCTGGCCCGGGCAGTGACAGGAGCAGGAGCCAGCAGGACCCTGGGTGCCCTCCCCGAGCGCCCTCCTCATCCTCAAAGGGACACATTCATTGTTCTCTGGGTGTGCTGGGACTGCACGCTCGTCCGCTGCCTTTGGAGCAGTTCTGCTCTGTCCTTGGCTCAGCGCTTGTTCCAGTGATGCACCCATTAAAATATGTCAGCTGATGGTGTGGCAGCGTTGAATGTGAGGGTGACAGTCCCCCCGAGGGGTGGGGGACACCTCAGTGTTGTTCTCTTCCCTGTTATCCAGAGGTGCCCGTGCCAGGAGCCTCGTCCTGGAGCTCTTGCCTGGTAAAAGTCCCTCTGCCCTCCTGGCAGGGATTTCTCAGGCAGCTTTTTGTGGGGAATGTGAGCTCGGGTCACCTCTTCATGGAGCACTTGGGTTTGCAGCTGGTTTGGCCCTTGAGGGGGCAGTGCTGGTGTCCCCTTGGTGAGGGCACTGGGAGGCTCCTGTCCCCAAAAACTCAACTCCTGCAGTGATTCCATGCTCCTGTTGGGCTGCATGGTGATCAGCCTGTCCCTGAGGGGACACTGAGCGACAGTGGCACCGAATTCCTGCAGAGTTCGTGTCCCCATTCATCCCTCCTGCCCAGCTGGGGACTGGGAACTGCTGGGAACACAGAGCAGTGACAGAGCAGTGACACAGCCGTGCTGGGGCACACAGAGCAGTGACAGAGCAGTGACAGAGCCGTGCTGGGGCACACAGAGCAGTGACACAGCTGTGCTGGCTAAGGAAGGGTTTATTTCCACACAGCCTGCCTGGATTTGTCCCCGAGGCTCTGGGGGAGGGAGGGAGGGAGGGAGGGAGAGCTGCAGCTCTGCGGGAGCTGGGGAGGATGTGGGACGTGCCAGCCCAGGGACACGGATGGGATGTGCCCAGGGATGTGGGATGTGCCAGCCCAGGGACACGGATGGGATGTCCCTGCCCAGGGATGTGATGTCCCTGCCCAGGGTCACGTCACCGCCCGTGTCCCCCCTGCCCTGTGTTATCTAACACAGCGCTGCCCTCATTCCTGCGGGGCCGCCGCTCGTTCCCATGGGGACAGAGGGGCTCTGTGGCCCCACCGGTATCCCCAGCCCGCTCTGCTCCCGTGGGGGATGGGGATGGGGATGGATGCAGCTCCCGGCTCTGCCGTCCCTCTGTCTGTCCGTCCGTCCGTCCGTCCAGCCTCTGCTCTGGTGCCCAGATCCCGCTGTCCCCCGTGGCTCGGCCTCAGCCGGCGGCTCCGGAGCTGGAAGCGGCTTCTGCGTTCTGCATCCCGGCTGCCCGAGGCGGGGACAGGCCGGGGACAGCCGGGGACAGCTGGGGACAGCCCGGGGACAGCCGCATCCCCGGTGCCCAGGCACCCATGGCGGTGGGAAGGGCTGGATGTGGCACAGGTCAGCTACAGAGCTCGGGGATCCCAGC